GGGGCATTCAGTAGTTATTTTTCTCATTTATTGATTGTATATTTGTTTGTTTCGTCATTTGTTTTAAAAAAATTTGACTATGTCTGAGGAGGTGGACTGTGTATTCTTTGTTGTTTGCTCGTCTGTGGGCACAATACTTTTCGCTTCCTTCTCCAATTGTCAGGGTCAGTCACTCAGATATGGTACAGCAGGGCATGTCTAGCTGAAGAGGAGTTACTGGGATGGGTTTTTTGTGGCACTTACTACAGCCACCAGGGTGGGTTGGTAATCAGTGCAGGGCAGGTTTCAGTAGGCCGTGTCTGTGCTGCTTGGTGGTGTGATGTTAAGCACACGGTGCAGGTAAGCAGGATGTAGTGGGGAGATTCTTATGTGTGGAGCTAAGATGGATATGGGAGAGAGGAGAGAGGAACAGGAGCCAAAACATACAAACAAACAAAAAAGAATGCTATGGGAGCTTGCCGTTGGAGCGGAGAGATGAGAGACTATGAAATGGAGAAAAACAGAAAGTGGGATATGAAGAAAAGAAAAGAATGAATAAATAAAAATCGGGAAGGTTAAAGAACCACAAAGTTCCCAGGGATCCCACTGGTGCAGCTATGAGGTCTGGGGAAGTCGCTCTCAGGTGTTGCAGTACAGCCTGGCTAGAAGGCGTGGAGGTGTACAACGCCAGGTATTCAGGGAACAGAAAGAGAAGGAAGATATAGAGTGACGAGAAACTGAGCAGTGAAGAAAAACAAAAAGGGAAAAAGAGGAAAAAGAAAAGAAAACAGATTAAAAAAAAAAAGAACAAGAAAAGCCCCCAAAAAACAGAAAGAAAAAAAAAAGAAACCAATGAAAAAAGAAATGCTCTTGGGGATCCCTCTGCACGTCTGTTCAAGCCGAGCAGGTAGTCTCCTTGCCACGCAGCACCGCCTGGCCAGAAAGTGCTCCCAACTCAAGAAAAGGAAAAGAAAACAAACAAAAGCCCCGGGATCCCACCACTGCCGCAGCCGAGACTGGGAAGCAGCTCCACACTTGAATGGAGCTCCACAACCCCTCAGGAAGAAGCAAAGATGGCTCATGGAGCCAGGTATTTGAGCGAAAGGCGGGGGAGGTCGTGAGAGGTAAGGAAGAAATCAAAAGAAGCAGAAAAAAAAGCAACACCAGCAGCCAACAAATGGCACTCAGAGAGCCGGCCTGTTCAGGTGTGTGGAATCCAAGCAGCCGGTGTTTCCCGGACAAGAGATTGTGGCCACAGGAAGCAGAGGAGGCCAAGTGGGGGTGAAGAAGGGTTGGGGGTGGGAAAGCGTATATCGCAAATTACCGGTTGTTTTGTCTCCCGCTGGAAGCTCCATGAAGCTGCTTTCTTGTACCCGCTGTTTGTTGGTCTCTGATAGGAGTCCAAGATGGCGGATCCATGCTGCATTAGCTGGTAGGGGACCTCTGCATGAATCTCTCCTCGTTCTCCGTTCTCTGTCAGTTTTCTCACTCCATTTGGTGCTTGGCTGAGTTCTTTATCTCTTCATTTGATGTCTTAGCATTTCAGGATTGTTGTTTTCTCTGTTCGGCTTAGTTTTTCAGATCTTTGCTGTGGAGGGACGGCATGATGCTTCTCCCTAGAGTGCCATTTTGCCGGAAGTCATCTGAAGTTTATATTTGTGCTGTATATTTGGAAGCAGTACCTACTGGCCTTCCTTCAAATTGAAAGAAGGGAGGAATAGAAATGGAGTTTCATTTCCTGGTTTCCACCTGCCATAAGATAGAGAAACTTACCTTTTTCTAAGCGAAAGTGTGACATAAAAAAAGAAAAAAAAAATTGCTGTGGAGTCGATTCTGACTCATAGTGACCCTATGGGACAGTGTAGAATTGCCACACAGGGCTTCCAAGGGTGTAATCTTCATGGAAACTGACTGCTACATCTTTCTCCTGTGAAGCCTCTGGTGGGTTTGAACCACGACCTTTTGTTTAGCAGCCGAGCGCTAAACATTGCACCACTAAGGCTTCTCAAAAAGTGTGACATACTTGCTTAAAAACACCCAAGAATCATAGGTCCCATTTTGGCTATCTGGATACCTACCATAAGCATTATAAAAACAAAACAAAACTGACTGTTCTGACTTAGAGTGTAATAGAGTTTAAAAAAGCTCTCCCAAACAACATGATACCTAAACTGTTTTGTGTGGAGGGCTGTTTGAGTTTATAATCAGGGGAGAGGGTTATAAATACTTTGACTTATCGTATTGTAAGAATATGTATTATCTGATGTAACTATACACTAGGATGTTGTTGTTAGGTGCCGTCAAGTCACCTCATAGTAACACTGTGTACAGCAGAAAGAAACACTGCCCATCCTTGCTATCCTCACAATCGCTGCTCTATTCAAGCCCATTGTTGCAGCCACTGTGTCAGTCTATCTTGTTGAGGGTCCTCCTCTTTTTTGCTGACCCTCTACTAAGGATGACGTCCTTCTCCAGGGCCAGGTCCCTCCTGATAATATGTCTAAAGTATGTGAGAGGAAGTCTTACCATCCTAGCTTCTAAAGAGCATTCTGGCTGTACTTCTTCCAAGACAGATTTGTTCATTCTGCTGGTAGTCTTGGTATATTCGATATTCTTTGTGAACACTGTAATTCAAAGGCATCAATTCTTGTTTGGTCTTCCTTATTCATTGTCCAGCTTTCACATGTATGTGAAAAGACTGAAAATACTATGGCTTGGTGATGCACACCTTAGTCCTCAAATTTACATCTTTGCTTTTTAACACTTTAAAGAGGTCTTTTGCAACGGTTTTGCCCAATGCAATATGTTATTGATTTCTTGACTGCTGCTTCCATGGGCTTTGATTATGGATCTAAGGAAAATGAAAACCTTGACAACTTTAATCTTTCTTCCATTTATCATGATGTTGCTTTTTGGTCCAGTTGTGAGGATTTTGTTTTGTGTTGAGATGTAATCCGTACTGAAGGCTGTAGTCTTTGATCTTCATCAGTAAGGGCTTCGACTGTCGCCTTCACTTTCAGCAAGCAAGGTTGTGTCATCTGTGTAACTCAGGTTGTTAACGATTCTTTCTCCAATCCTGATGCTGCGTTCTTCTTCATAAAGTCCAGCTTCTTGGATTATTTGCTCAGCATACAGATTGAATAAGCATGGTGAAGGAATACAACACTTGATGCACACCTTTCCTGATTTTAAACCATGCAGTATCCTCTTCTTCTGTTCAAACAGCTGCCTCATGGTCTATGTACAAGTTCCTCTGGAATTCTCATTTTTCTCAACATTATCCATAAATTGTTATGATCCATACAGTTGAATACTTTTGCATAGTCAATAAAACACAGGTAAACATCTTTCTGGTATTCTCTGCTTTCCACCAAAATCCATCTGACATCAGAAATGATATCCCTTGCTACACATACTCTTTTAAATCTGAGTTGAATTTCTGGCATTTCCCCGTCGATGTACTGCTGCAGCCGTTTGTGAATCATCTTCAGTAATATGTTACTTGCAGATGATATTAATGGTATAATAATGTCATAATTTCTACATTCTGTTGGATCATCTTTCTTTGGAATGGACACAAATATGGATCTCTTTTAGTTGGTTGGCTACGTAGCTGCCTTCAAATTTCTTGGCACAGACGAGTAAGTGCCTCCACCGTTGCATCTGTTTGTTGAAGCATCTCAAGTGGTATTGTGTCAATTCCTGGAGCCTTGTTTTTTGCCCATGCCTTCAATGCAGCTCGGACTTCTTCCTTCAGTACTGTCCGTCTTTGATCATATGCTATCCCCTGACATGGTTGAATGTTGATCAATTCTTTTTGGCACACTGATTTTGTGATTCTTTCCATCTTCCCTTGATGCTTCCTGGGTTGTTCACTATCTTTCCCATACAGTCCTTCAATATTGCAACTCGAGGCTTGACTTTTTTCTTCAATTCTTTCAGCTTGAGTGATACCGAGTGCATTCTTCTGTGATGGTTTTCTAACTCCTGGTCTTTGCACATTTCATTATATTTTGCTTTGTCTTCTAGAGCTGCCCTTAGAATCTTCTATTTGACTCTTTTACATTGTCATTTCTTTTGTTCATGTTAGCTACTCCACGTTGAAGAACAAGTTTCAGTCTCTTTTGACATCCATTTTGGTCTTCTTTCTTTCGTGTCTTTTTAATGACCTTTTGCATTCTTCACCTGTGATGTCCTTTATATCATCCCACGACTCATCTTGTCTTTGGTCATTAGCGTTCAATATGTCAAATCTATTCTTGAGATGATCTCTAAATTCAGGTGGGGTATACTCAAAATCATAATTTGGTTCCCGTGGACTTGTTTTCATTTTCTTCAGCTTCAACTTGAGCTTGTGTATGAGCAGTTGATGGTCTGTTCTTCAGTGGGCCCTTGGCCTTCTTCTGACTGATGATATTGAGCTTCTCCATCGTCTCTTTTCACAGATGTAGTTGATTTGATTTCTGTGTATTCCAGCTGGTGATGTCCACATGTATAGTCACTGTTTATGTTGTTGAAAAAAAGTATTTCCAATGAATAAGTCATTGGTCATGCAAAATTCTATCATGCGATCTCAGGCATTATTTCTCTCCCCAAGACCATATTTTCCATCTACTGATTGTTCTTTTTTTCCCAACTTTTACATTATAAACTAGGTTAGGAGAAATAATTTGTGATTAATTTAAATTGAAGGTAGAAATAAGTTCTTTTGATTAGTGGAGAATTTGACTTTCAAGTTATTTGAACAAATTTGGCTTGTTATTTAAATTATTTGAATTTTGAGGAGAAGCTGATTACTAAAGTTGAATGAACTGAAGTCTCATTTGCTGACTTTCCTGAGTGAATCAGAGGGATGACCGATCTCTAAAAACTTTTTTGAAGAGCTTTATTTGTGAAACCATTTGGATATTTATTGCTTATGTTTTAAAGGGACTATATTTATACTATGTACTATTCTTGTAAAAAATAACTATGCAAGGCTTGATTTTAATCTTTCTCTCTCTCTTGCTCTTTCTCAACAGTTTGGAAGAACTGAAGTAATTGATAATACTTTAAATCCTGATTTTGTAAGAAAATTTATTCTGGACTACTTTTTCGAAGAAAGAGAGAATCTTCGTTTTGACTTGTAAGTTCTAGTAATGCTTTCATTTTATAAAATTGGATTTTATAAGTAATTTTAGAAATACCGGGCTGGGTCCTATGGTTGCACTGAATCCTAGATTATATTGACAGGAAACCAAATTAATTCTATTCTGAGTGTTGCCAGAGTACAGTCATCAGCACTGCTTTGCATTTTATGGTTCTCTGTCATATGCTTGTTGAAGAAATAGTGAACAATTTAACCATGTAGAAATGCCAGGCAGAATATATGGGTAGTCTGTCAAACCATCTCACACTTCAATAGGTTTCTTATAAATTCTACATATACTCCAGGGTATCTCATCCACTCCTATGGCTCATGTCTCTCAATTCTTTAAGTTTCTCTGAGCTGCTTCTTAGCATCTTATGTGGATCCCTGTCTAGATATAGGTTCCTTTTATCCTTTGTTGTTAGTTGCCATTGACTCAGCACTGACTCATGGTGACCTCACATATTACAGAATGGAACGTTGCCTGGTCCTATGCCATCTTCATGATATTTGCTATATTTGAGCCCAATGTTTTGGCTATTTTATCCTTTACCTCTTGCCTTTGAGTCCATTCCAACTCAGGATGACCCCATGTGTTTCAGAGTAGAACTGTACTCCATAGGGTTTTCAAACGGTAAAGTGCTCAACTGCTAACCAAAAGTTTGGAGGTTGGAGCCCACCCAAAGGCACCTCAGAAGACAGGCCTGGCAATCTACTTCTGTTAGGTGACAGCCTTGAAAACGCTGTGGAGCACAGTTCTACTCTGACACGCATGGGGTCATCATGAGTCAGAACTGACTTGAGGGCAGCTAACAACGTAAAATCTTACAGAAGTGGATCAGCAGACCGTCCTTCCATGGTATGGCTGAGTGGCCTCATGTTCCTAAGGCGCTATCTAATTTTCCCTGGATGTTAGAGCCAGCATTTTAAATGTTCTTGTTACTTTGATTCTGAATCAGACATATTAAAAGATTATCTTTAAAGTCAACTCCCTGTCCACAGAGAATGCTGAAGTCAGTCTGTTTATAAGGTGATATCAATTAGGGTTTAGAGTAGAACTACCCTACAGGGTTTCCAAGGAGCAAGTGGTAGATTTGAACTGTTGACCTTTTGGTTAGCAGCCATAGCCATTAACCGCTGCACCAATATATCTCATCCATTTTAATGGCTGCATAGTTTCCATTGTTTGCAAGAAATACAATTTATTTAACCAAACATTTTCTGATGGACATTTTGGCTGGTTCCATTTTTACTACTATATGTAATCTTGCGGTGAGTATCCTTGTATATAAATCTCAAGTCTTTTTTATTTATTTATTTATTTTTGGTGGATAAATTATTCAGGGATCCCTGGTGGCTCAGTGGTTAAACATTCGGCTGCTAATCAAAAGGTTAGTGGTTCAAACCCACCAGCTGCTCCACAGTACAAAGATGTGGCAATCTGTTTCCATAAAGATTACAGCCTTGGAAACTCGATGGGGCAATTCTGCTCTGTTCTGTAGGGTCACTAGGAGTCAAAATTGACTCGATGGCAGCAGGGTTTTGATTTGGTTTAAATTAGAGTCAAATGTTAGGATACAAGGGTTTGGACAAGCCTTCCCACTGACTGATTCTAATCTTTGAGACCAACTTAGAATTCCTATAAAATTTATTACTTTTCTGAACTCCTAGTCTGGTTGTTAACTCTGATTTTTAGAACAATCTCTCTAAAGAGACAGTTGGCCCCTGTCACCACCATGAGTACCTCCTGCCAGGTCACTGTATTTACCCTTTTTTCCCACACTATTGCCTCACTTTGACCCTGCTTGTTCTGGTTTCTTTAGCCCATGTGCTGCTCGTGATTCATCACCTGATACTTGTAATTATTAATGAAAGAAACAAAAGGGTACTCTCAAAAGGATGATAGCAGTCAAATGTTAGACAGTAAGACCAACAAACATCGAAAGACTGGACTAGTCATTGTGCAGAAGAGAGGAAGCAAAAGAAAGATTTCCATATATGGAGGCTTCTTACACAGAGGGTAGCGATCACTTACTCATATCTGCTGAAGAGGAGGCTATGGAAGCTAATGGATTTTAAGTAGCACTAAGAGCAGTAGTGTCCAGTTAAAGAAATGAACACTCAGTGCTGGTCAGGCCTCATTTAAATATGATGTCTATCTCAGTGAATGGCATTTCAAGAATCATTTTGACAAATTAGTGAATCCAGAGGAGCATAAATTAGGTTAGGGAGACCCCTGATATTTATATCAGATGCTTGACAAGCTTACTAGGAATGTTTAGCATGGGAAGGAAGTTAGATAGGGCATTGATAGAAATTAAGGTACTTCTCTCGTGTTTGATAATACATCAACAACATTGTTTAACTTCGCCTATGGATGTTTCAGGGAATTAAATAAAAATAAACCAGAAAAGAAAATTTCAATATATTCACTGATGGGAATATGGAATGAAGAAATATATAAGTAATTTAATACGTTTCAGTTGCTAATATATTCCAGTTATTAATAAACTAAATGAAATAATTACACAAGCTCATGAAGCGAGAGTTAGTATATGTTTTGTGAGCACAGACAAAAAGAGATGATTCTGTGATAACAATACTACCACTAATATTTATAGTTTGCAGTAGACTCATTCACATATTTAATCATGTTTAATTCACCAAACAATTTATGAGGTGGAGTTACCCAATAAACACCAACAAAGGCTTCATGAGTCTAGATTTTGCTTACTTAACAAGTTATTTTCCTTCCTGATAAATAAAATGGTGATAATTTTGAGATGTATATTATTATAACCTGTTTTTGAAGGATCTTAACACTTTGGGAGAAAATAAGTAGTTGTTTTATTTCCTCCAATGTTTTCTCAACACTGTCAATTCCAGTTTTCCCCATTGGTTAAAGGCTCCCTTACCAATGTCAAGATCTAATTTTATGAATTTTCAGCCACTTTCGTTTATTAGACCATTTCATTTTATTAATTGTTAGGTACTCTTCACTTTAACTTTTAATCTCAAATTTAATTCAGAGCTCTTCACTTCCTCTTCCCCTAGTTGGAGCTATTCTTCCAGCTACTTGCAAAAGACAGGGGGGATTTGAAGGTAGAGAGGTGGGTCTCCCACCTTCTGACATCTCTAGACCTTATGTGGTCAAGTACCTTGCTTGTCTTGCTCATTGTAGAGGAGAGACTAAAAAGGACGCTGTCCCATGCTCTTTAGCTCTTAGAAAGCACTTTCTAGAACTTACAGGTTACATTCTCTTTCGCTGGCAGCCCCAGGGTGGACCTGCAGACAGATTCTGTAGCTTAGCAGCATCTGACTAGGGAACCAGATGCTGGCCTCGTTTTCTTGCAGGCACCACGGATTTCGAGCTCCCCGTCACTTGGCTTTGAGAAAAGAATCTCCCTTCCTCCCCTAAAAAAGAAAGGGGATAGCTTGTCACCTTATCAGTGCTGCACTCATAAGGCCAAGGACTGGTTCCAGGCTGTGAGGAGTAGGGTCTGCCCTAAGCCTAGTGACTCACCAGCTGCTCTGAGCTAAGCAAGTGAGAATACTTAGCAGCTTTTGTTTTCAGCTTTGGGCTTTTTTTGTAATGCAGAAACATAGGAAAAATTCCAGTCAACATCTGTTACTCCCTTAGGACCCATCCAGATCAATTACTGCCAGTTCAGCACTCTAGATGTTGTTGTTACCTGCTGTTGAGTCGGCCCTAACTCATGAGGATCCCCATGTACAATGGAATGAACCACTACCTAGTCCTGCGCTGTCCCCATGATCAGCTGCAGATCTGACCATTGTATTCATTGGCTGATTTTTGGAAGTAGATTACCAGACCTTTCTTCCTAGTCTGTCTTCATCTGGTACCTCCGCTGAAACCTGTTTAGCATCATAGCAACACACAAGCCTCTACTGACAGATGCGTGGTGGCTGCTCATGAGGTGCATTGACAGAGAATTGAAACTGAGGCTTCCACACGGGAGACAAGAATTCTACCACTTAACCACCAATGCCTCTAGTAATAAGGTCTTAATAACAGGATAATGTTTACAAAATTCCTGTTAATAAATTTAGGCACGGTGGGATGCAGCCTCCTGAGGGGAGACAACTTAGCTTCTTGCCTTGCAATAGACTCTGTCTTCCTTAGGGAGAATTTGGCACTCATAAATGTACACACAGACACACAGACGTGTGTGTGCACACAGGGTATAGTATTTATGATCTGATCTGTGAGAGTGAGGACCAGGGTAGTTTTGATACTTTCAGAAAAGTTAGAAGGAAAATTCCATTAAAAGAAAAATTGTGGTAATTTTGAATGCATTATACTTCAATATATTACTTAAAGTCTTCAGTAGTATTGTGTAAATTACGTTTTTGAGATAATAGCATTTTAAAAAAAGATTGTTAAATACAATGACAGAGAATTGTATTTGAAAATACTTAAGCTCTTTGTGATAACAACAGAACTCGTTTTTTTTTTTTTTTTTTTTTTTTAACTTCTTTTAACTAACCTGATCTATACTCAGCATGTTATTTCTCAGAAAGACTGTTTCCAGGGTAGATTCTTGAGAAGGAGCCAGCAGCTATCCTTCACCTTTGATATTGATGCAGTTGCTGATTTCAGTCTCTTCCTTTAAAATTTCTGTCATGTATTTTTTTGGATAAGAAATACTTTTCTTACAGTAACATCTGTAGATCTATAGTACCGAAAAAAAAAAAAAAACAAGCCCATTGCCATTGAGTCGATTCTGACTCATACAACCCTGTAGGACAGAGTAGAACTGCCCCATAGGGTTTCCAAAGAGTTGCTAGTGGATTCGTACTGCTGACCTTTTGGTTAGCAGTCAAGCTCTTACACACTGCACCACCGGGGCTCCAAATCTATGGTAGATGTTGGCAAACTGCTGATTTAAAATTCTAGGCTACAGCTGTGGAGAATGATCAGCATGCCCTGATGTGCAGGGGAATAATTTGTAATTCTTCTGAGGCAGGTATTTACATCATGCAATTATCAAGCTAGTTTTTGGTAGACATTCTTTGCTGGGGAGTAAATGCGCCTCTCTCTGCCCCTACCAATGCGCTCAACGAGCTTTGACTGTTTCTTTGCTTTTTATTGTTTGAGATGCTTTTTTTTTTTTTTAATGAAAAGATTCTTGTTATGTGAGAGAGAAGACTTTAATTAGCCTTAAAAGAAAAAAAAAAAGTTAATTTTTTGTAGAAAGCTATGCTCAAGGAATGTGAAGTGGGGGAAAGACTGGAGCCAGTACATGTCTTTCCCTGTTCAAGAGTTCAGTAAATTGAAATTAGCCATCTCTCCACTTCTACAAACTCTTTAAATGGAGGGACTAAAGTGATAGTGAGTGATGTTATCCCACTGTATCTCTAGGAAATCGTTTATTTCCAATGCTAGCTGGTGGAAAACAGAACACATAGCAGTCCTATGCAAATGCGTTTCTCTTTCCAAAAAATACATGGTTTTCCCAAGTCCTGTAGTTAGGGAAAAGTAGTGTCTTATTACAATAAATTTTGCAACAATACCATTTAAGGTATTTAATAAGTATTACAATGGCCACCAATGACAGCCTGATACCAGGACCTGTTTATCTTTTATTAGTATAGAGAGAAGACAGATTTTTTTTTTTTAGAATTTTGAACTCAGTTGAGCAGTATTAGGATAGTGTCGATTCACAGAAAAGAGGAATTTTAAACTTTTCTTATCAAACAACAGAATTGATAACTGTGAAAATATTAGGACTTAGGTTTATAGAAATAAAAGAATTCAGGGAATATGAATTCTACCATTGACATATAGGCCACAGGTTATGAGAAACTTCTCTATTTACTAAGTTTTTCTCACCATTGATACTTTTTTTTTCAGTTTTATATTATTTATGTATTTTGAAAAATACTGACATTTTTCTCTAGCTGTATTTTGTGGAAATAAGTTAAGTTTTATATTTTAATCTTTTAGGTATGATGTTGATTCAAAGAGCCCCAACTTATCCAAACATGTAAGTTCACGTTTTTATGTTGATTGTATACATGTAAGTTCATGTTTTATGTTTTTTTAATGATGATTTTATAATAGAAATTATAATATACGATGAACTATGATTAATATTTATGATGATTTATTAATATTAAAGTTTTATGTCCATAACTTTTCAGGAATGTGATTGCATCATAAAAAATAAATGGCAATTTTAAGGAACCTTAGAATAACATTTTGGAAGAGCTTATTAAAATAGAGATACCTTTAGTAAGTGAAATAGATTTTTCTCCCCCTCCTCTGCCTTCTTTTTTTTTTTTTTTTTTCCCCAAAGAAATGATGACAGTACCCTTTAATCTTTGAAGCTGAATAAGATTAATTAAGCAGGATGAAACTGTGAACTGTGTCTTTTGGGAGGCTTTACTTCTGAGAGATTGGGAAGTACTCTGGTGTAGGTAAAGTGATTTGTCATGCTGCCTTCCTTGTAGTTAATTTGTTCAACAATATTTTTTTGAATACCTCCTAATGTTTAGCATCATGCCAGTTTCTGAGGCTACAATATGAAAAAAATATACAGTCTCTGTCCTGAAGTCACTTACAGCTTTTTTAGGTCCTGATCTTCTTTCCTCCCCATTCCTGTTTGCTCACCAGGCAATGACTATTACCTGGGGAAACTTCCAGCTTCAGGAGCCATAGGAGTGTCAAAGCCAGGTAGATACAGAGATGGAGGTGGGAAGGGAGGGATGAAAGTGCAATATTCTGGCTAAGCACTCATTTTATGAGCCACCTCTTTATTGAGCTTTGGGGTTGGAGTTAGGCCAGACCTAGGGCGAAAGGCTGAATGGAGGTGAAAACAGCATTCTGAAAGGACTTCAACTGAATTCAAAGTGTAATCTGAGTACTTAGGTGTAGAACTGGCAGATGTGACAGGATTGGGAGATAGACTAGGCTAACGTTAGTATCCAGAGGCTCAGGAGCATGAGATTTTTCACTTTTCCATTTTTGTAGGTTATTAACTAGAATATATGGGTATATGGTTTCCAGTGTTGTTTGATGAGGGGGAATGTCATAAGTCAGAGAAGAGTGGGGATTTAAGGGGTGATCACAAGCTAGGAGAAAAGATTTGGGGAAACTGGGAGCCTGGATGTAATGCCAAAAATTACAATTAACTGCCCCCCTCCTTCGTTAAAAGTATTATGGTATTTATTTTGCTAGAAAGGTTAGAGTAGAATCATGTGAAGAAGTATTCAAAAAACAGTTCTGTCTAAGTGATTGACTCTTCTACAAATTGAAAAAAAATGCTGTAATAAGCTCATTCCTCCCAGTCAGTAAAGTTCATTGCCATTGCCATGCCTCCTTCCTGCTCCGTAGGATAAGATTTATAGCGTTGGGACTAGACATTTAAAACTTGCTTGCCCAACTTTGTATTGTAAGTTTTCCAGATGTCATTGGAAGAATCAAAAAACGAGTCACATTTTCTGGTCAAAATTATTTTGTTGCAAGGAAGGAAAATGCATTTGTTTATCTCACATGGAGGAGCGTCTCATAAATGTGCAGTGTTGCTTGTCCCCATTGGAACTGGAGCTGGAAACAGGAACATGGGTCGGGACTGAGATAGCTGTTCTCTCCATTTCTCTCTGTCTGGGGCCACATATTCTCTCGACGATGTGTGTTGTCTGAGCTTGTACGTCTCTCCAAAGACCAGTTTTCTAAGTTTATTCACCATTGTGCACATAGGAAAATGACCCTAGTCCTGACTGGATGTAGACTTCAAGTGTCCACTGTCTCTGAATATAATTTCTCTGTTTCAGAGCGCATAATAACTGGGCAGGTGAAGACTATTTCCAGGGGGTTGGAATAGTGTGAAGGTGGTAACATGTGGTCTTTACCAATATGGTTGTATAGAGTTCAGGGAAAAGAGTAGTATATGGGTTAGGAAGGTACCTCAAACATGACTGACTGTATCTTCTTCAATAATCAGCAATGATTTTATAAGAGATATGCTTCTTAGAAGTCATGAATTTATATATCTTAAGAGATTTTTTTCCTCCCACAAGAAAAGTTTCAAGTTTCCCCCATCCTAAAAATTCTTATCTTGATTCTGCTTTACTCTCATGATATCTCTTTTACTATCTCATCACTATACTTCTTTAAAGAACAGGCTGGGATTCTATGTTAACTTCCTCCCTTTTCATTCTGTCTTCAACTTACTATGTTCTGGTTTTCACTTCTGCGTAAACTTCTCTCACAGAGGTTAGATCAAGATTTAGTGACCTCTTTTCATTCCTTACCTTACTTGACCTCCTCTCATTTTTGGATACAATTGACGACTCTTCTTGAAATGCTCACCTCCCCTGACTTCCATAAAAATTTCTCCCTTGTTTCTTTTTTCTACATCCCTGTTAACTCATTATCTATCATTTTTTCTAGCTTCTCTTCTTCCTTTTATTCCTTAATATTGTTTCTCATGTTATTTTCAATTTTCATCTCATCTCACAGTATAAACTCTAATTGGGAGTTCTCAACCCTTTCCATTCCTTACCTGTTAACTCCTGAATAGCTATCCATTTATATCCCTCAGTAAGTCCAAGTTTCCATCTGCTTATTAAATAATGCCTAATAGATGTTTCACAGAAGCCTAAAAGTAAAATCTATCTAAAGTTCAAAATCTTTTTCCATCTCAGTCTTGTTCCTGGCCCATATTACCTATCTTGGGAGTTATGATCAACACAGTTTACTTGGTTAGAAAACTTGGATGCGTCTTGAACCTTCTTTTTCTGTCACATACACCACGTCTAGTGTTAATTCTAGCAAAGAATTGTTTCTCTTTCTCCCTTCTATTTTCTCTTATGTTACTGTCTTGGTTCAGATTTTTGTTACCTTTCTCCTGAACTCTATTGTGATGGCCTCCTATAGGTTTGGTAGTCTATATTATCTCACATTTCCAATCTATCCTTTACATTACTCTCTGTGTTATATTTCTTAAATGTATTTAGAAGACAAGGCAAATCAGTTAATAAGTACCAGAGCTGGGTGAAGACTGTAAAAAAAAAAAAAGGGAGGACATGTGTTTTTGAACAGTTCCAAAAATTACCTTGAATTTTTCCAAAACTGCTTTGAATGTTTGTTAGAATAACAAAAGCCCTTCCCTATTTAAAGGTATCCAAGTACAGATTTTAAATAAAAGCACATATAACTTATTCAACCAAAAAAGAATTCATGAGGCTTTTGGGAGATCAGAGGAACCAATAAACAAGCAAAGTCTATTCCCTAAAGATATGACTCTTTAAAAGCATGATTGTCTGCCTGGCAATTTTGTAGAGTGAAATGTAAACTGGAACCTTATAGGAAAGACTGCTAAGTACCCAGGCTTGCATGTAGAGTGCAGGCACTTAGCTTTTACAAAAAGGGTTTTGTAGCAAGAGAGACTCCATGAACTGGCAATAATAAAATATTTTTTTTCTTCGTTTTCATTTCTAATAATTAAAAATGAAACTCTTTTCAAGATGACTTCATTTGGTTTTCAGTACTGAAAGATCTTGGATCAGTTTTTTTTTTTACTCTTGGGGAGAGTGGAGCTCTAATGTTGAATTGTACTTTGCATTTCTAATATTGCAAATGAATATGAAGAGAGTGGAACACAAAGAAACAGAGTAACTTTGGTTGATTCTGTTGAGGGTCAGGAAGTTTTTAGTGGGAAACCATTGCACTCCAGGGGAAGCCTTATGGAATCCAGGGATATATTCCTTCAGAGGATTTATCTCTTTTATGATTCTCTGAGGAAGTATCTTTGCAAAAATATGTTTTTCTGCGTAAGTGTTAGGCCTTGTGAACAAAACATGGCATTTTAAATTCTAGGCTTGTTCTCTAAGGTGCTAGTGTACCCACTCATCTTAATGCCATTAGCAGAACTACATAACATACTTTCATTAGCATAACTTAATTGAATCAGCCAAATCATCAATGAAGAGATATAATAAGCCCATAATTGGTACACCTAGAATTCTGCTTAGCATTTTAGACCAGTTAACATCAAAACTGTACTTTATGTACTAGTTTTCGTACTCACGAGGCAATCAAAAATACATATACTCACTTCCTTGATCTCAGAAGATAGCTGTTAAAATCTTTGCTTCAGAAGAAGTGTTAGTGGCTCACTGGATTATTTTGGCCCCAAAGCAGTAGCCTTCCATGAAGGTGTGTATGTTCTTCAATATATTTTCTAAATATGCATACCAACTTGCACATGTAGATCAATTGTATTTCAAAATTTCATATGAAAGTTAATTGTCTGGACCATGAAGTACGTTTTTTTCATAGAAACAGATTTATAACTGGAATGAGATTTTTAGTTAGAATACAAGACAATTTTTACCTATATATAACTGAACTGAATTCTTATATATATATATGTATATATATATATGTATATATACTCTTACAGTCATCCAGGTAATAAATATATGCTAGACACTATTCTTGGGATGGGGATATAGCAACAAATAAGACAAACAGGGTCCCTGTCTCAAAATAGCTTACATTTTAGAGTTTGGAGAATGGGGTGGGACAGATTTATTCAATGAACACAACTACAACTAAAAGATTAAGTTAATTTATTTCCTTTATAGCACTTATATTAATAAGATATTGATATGGAGAGAGTGATTGAGGAAGCAACATTAGCTAAAAGCTTAGGTTTCCCTTAATCAGGCAGCATGGTTCTGTACCAGTTCTCACCCTGAGTGTACTTATTGATGAGAAGGACAGAGCTATTACAAATCTAGGGGGAATGCATTTTAGGCACAAGGAACAGTAGTACAATGGCATTGAGTCAGAAAAGAGCTTGGAATCTTGGCATGACAGAAAAATGCCTACCATACATAGAGAATTATGAATGATGAGAGTAGAATGGAATAGTTTGGAAAAGCTACACAGGTTTCAGATGATGTAGAGATTTTTAGGCCGTGGTTTTAAAAAAAGAAGTTTAAATTTTTTCTTTTTGATGGATGTCACTGGAGGATT